ACTCACTCACCAAAGAAAGGCGTCTAGCCGCAGTTTCCCTGCGCTAATAATATTATCCCCAGAGACCTTTACGGTCTGTCCAAAGGGCGAAGCTGATCCCCTCACGGTAGAGTTCATTGGAAAAAAGAAAAAAAGAAAAAAAAAATCCTGGATACCCGAGAAACCAGACAGTGAGGGCGGGCACGCACTATCACGTGAGTACCTTCTTTCCAGAGGTTGAGGCCATGAGTTTGTAAACACCAAGTAAGCAATCGACATTGCAGACCCTCGCGTGTCTTTTGTACCTTGAGCATATCTACAAAGGTACTGTAGGTACGTACCACCACGAACCTAGTACATAGGTCAAAGTAGGTAAGGTAGGCTAAAGTACCTGGTACCTGGTACGTACGGTAGTACATATGGAGTTTGTCCAACCCCGGCCACCCCCGGCCATCTCCCAAACAACCCCAGCAAAACAATGCGTGTATATTTGTGCATGTTATCCCAGAACTCACACATGTCCTAGACTCGTCCTCGTGCGTGTTTGGTTTTTCTTTGTACAAGAAAATAGGTTTCATAACCCTGCGTTTATCGCAGGAAGAACGTCTCGTGTCGACCGGCCTTCTGCTATCCGGCTTGATCGGCCCTCCTCCCTTCCTGTACCAGGTCGACCCTCTTGACCGGGTGCAATAGCATTCCCGGCAGACACATCCTGCCCTCGCCTGCGAGCTCAAACTGTTCTCCGCCGTCGTTGTGGAATTTCATGCCCAACCATCGATGCCAGAGCACTTCCGGAAAGCCAGCATTGTAATACCACGTTGTCCCTCGGAAGTTGTGTTCGCGCTCGCCAAATACCGAAGTGCGGGCGCCACCTGTGGCACCGTTGCGCCCTCCGTTGAAGACCGAAGCGAGGTAGTTGGTGGGCCATTTGCGGTCGACATACTCTGGATGAGGCACGTAGACTGCTTTCAAGCCGTGCTGCAACGCACATGAGGCGGGCCACATTTCCGAGAACATGGTGTGTTTCTTCAGCGCCGTTTCCTTGTGCATGGTCAACAGCAATCGACGCGAGAGACGAGATGCTGTGATAATGGCAGTACGCCGTGGGGGTCGGCCACGCGTGATATTATAGCCCGTGGTATCGTCCGTAAGAAGCCACGTCGTGCCGTCGGGATCGAACAGTGGGTTGAACACGATCAGGTCTGCGTCTTCGCCGACGCCCCACGTGTATTTATCTTTGTCAAAGGAGGTCGGTGGAGTTGGGTCAGTATCCATGGCGACATCATCATCGAGCGGTCGTTCAGGACCCCAGATTGGTTTGTCTCCTTGTTGTTTCATTGCTCCTGCAGGACTGTGCTTAGAGCTCGGGTCATTGGGATCCTTGTTGGCGTGGTTCAGGCTGCTCCACAGGTTGGCGACGCTGTTTGTGCCATGTTCCGTCTGGATGCGAACCATTTGGCTAAAGTCTTCCCATTCACCGTGTTCCGATGGGATATAGAACCGGCTGTTTCTCTCCCAGAGAAGTTTTCGGGGTTGTTGTTTGGCCCATTTCGTGATACTGTCGAAGAAATGGTACCAGTGGTGTGTAGTTCGAATGTCCATCTCCCAATTCCAGAAGAAATCGTACTCGGGATGTTGATAGGCAAAGTACTGCATTGGCATAAAAGTGCTGCGGTACACACCGTGAACAGGCAAGCCGCGCATGTTTGTCTCCTCCAGACCACCGTACATGAGCTCCATTTGCTTCTCAGTCCAAAGAGTGCCCATGCCACGGAATTCCTCGGGCAACGAGTCTCGAAGAACGCGCTCGTAGGTCTCATCGTCAGAAAAGATAGGCACGTCATTGGATTTGACTTGGACCAGAAAATGCACCACGTACTCGCCACCGCTTAGCATATTCAGTTCTGAGATAAGGGATCGGAGGTAGATCTTGTCTTCGGGTGTGTATGGATAGTCCCACCAGGTACGGATCACGACCGCTGTACGAGGAAGTCTTTCTGATCCGGACTTGGGTTTCTTCGGCACGTCACTCGGCTTTGGCGGCATTGCCTCCACGTCAGCCACCTCATCTCTCTTGTTGTAGACTGTGCCGACGGGCATCACTCGAAACGTGTCGATTCGGGGCTTCTCTGGGAGTTCCTTGAAGCGATGATTGTTTGCCAGAACACATCGTTGCTGAGCGTCGGCCCATTGAACGGTTCTCCAATCCACCTCGGGCGCTTCCTGCCACACCAAATCAGCTCCCTCTCTTTCGCCTTCCTGTTGGGCACCGCTCCCGCCTCGGTTGATGCTGTATCCAAGGCCGTACGGACCTAGCCGACCAAATCGATCGTAGCAGATGTCGTCCCTGAGTCCAAGGAGCTTGGCCGAACCCATGACCATATCCGGAAACCCTCGTGGGATGCCCTCGTAGATGCGCACGCGCGGTATCTCGATGGTGTTGTCGGCATCCAGGTAACAATCTACCTTGTCACCGTATTTGGCAATGTATTCTGGTGAAGAGTAACTGGGATATGGGTCGAATCTCTTGCTAGATGGAATCGCTCTCTTTCTCCTCTCCTTCCCCGTCGGGGCTTCCTCTGCCGGCAGATCCTCGACCGCCTCCTCAGTGATGTTCAACTTCTCCCATTCCACCTCGTCCTCTTTCCTGGGGTATTCAGGCACGTTGCTCGCGACTGGAACCAACGATCGGATTCCGCCGTAATATCTTTGCAGGAATGGGAATTCTTCCCAAGGAGCAGGTCTCGGCTTGATCTTTTCTTGTTCAATCGCCTCTTGCACCTCCTGTTCCGCGACGTAGCTCATTCTGACCAGCGAAAAGATGAAGATGACGAGGGTGACGGCGACGCCGAGGCAGAGATATCGCATGATGGATCGAGGCATTCTGCCGAGATAGGCCGGAGAAGAGGATCGATTGGAACTGTAGGCTTTGTTGATGAGCATGGGTCTGTACGAGGCAGAGGTGGCCCGAGAGGATGCGAGCGAGGGGTTTCCCTCTTCGTCGTCAAACGTATCGTTGCTATCGTCTTCGCTGCCGTGAGGGTGACGGTTCAGGAACCCTTCCTTCTCGACATCTGATTCTCCCCGACTCCGTATGCGTGACATGGAGGTTGCGTTGTCTATGCCCAGTGAAGAAGTGCGCGGCCATCCCATTGTTTTCGCGAACTCGTTGCCCCAGGCCGCAGCCTCGGCGCATCCTTGTCTTGGACACGCTCTGTCGCAAGACCGGCAGAAAAGCGCTGACTGCGCGAGCGCACAGGTGTGAAACCCCTTTCCGGACGCGCGGCGAAATCGTTCAACGACGGTTTTGTCAGGTGCGAGACTGAGTTCCGGGGGTTGTGAGGTAGTCGCGTCTTCAGGAGTTGCCGGGACGTATTTTCCAGGGTCTTTCTTGCCCGAGCTTGTCAATAAGGTACACGCATGCGGGAAACGCAACGAGGTTATATAACCAATATTACTAGTATATATACATAAAAGTAAATGAGTCTGAGGTGTTTGTAGATGTACAGAGACTCTTGAAAGAGTGAGAGAGAGGCACCAAACTTCGACCTGCCAGTTGTGCCCAGAGTTTGGCTGGCTGGGCAAAAAGTCCCTTATCGTTGTCCCGGTTTTAATCGCCCGTCAACATTCAGGCCCACAGCGACGCCCCCAAATCCGGGAAAGCGGCACTAAACGCCCATCAAAACGGCGAGTGGGAGCCACATGACTGCGGAGTACGAGGGTAGAGAATCAAGTAAAAGGGGGGCGCGCCCAGGACGACCAGTGGACCACTGTGCAGCTAGCTGGTAAAGGATACATAGAATTCATTGCCTAGGGTAAAGGAAAGGAGCGGTCTCATTCACAGCGTCGCTTCAGTTTCTCTATCGAAACACATCGCAAAGGGCAAATTGGTGCCTCACTGTGTTGGTTGAGTTCTTCGTCCCCTCTTCCCACCTCTCTCCCGGGGCATCAGACAGGTCGCTGCAGACGCTGGTCTAGGAGTCATTGCCACTTGGTGGCAATCCTTCGACGCCCTTGCCCAAGTCCTCCTTCAACGCCTTGCCTCCGACCTCCAAGCTCTTGCAGTCTTGCAACACAAAGATCATGCGTGACCACTCCGTCTCGCTGGTATTCTTCCAGGCGTGCATCGTGGCTCTCTGCACAGCGACATCTCCTCTTTGCATCAATCTTCTCTCGCCGCTGTCCAGGATCATCTCGATCGTCCCCTCAAGGACAATGCCGTAGTCGAGACTCTGGGTTCTGTGCATGATACATTCGTAGCCCGGCGCCATGTCGACAACCCGACAGACTGTGCCGTTGGTGTTGACGAGGCCGAGTTTGCCGCTGGCGACGACTTCGTCGTGCGTCTTGAGGTCACGGTCGTTGTTGAGGTCGGGGGGAAACTCCGAGGTTGTGTACACCACGTTGAAGCCCATGAGCTTGTCGTCAAAGACGGTCCAATTGCCGGGTCTGCTGTCCTGAACGATGGCTTTGCCCGTATCGCCATCGTGACCGGTGATGTGAGTGGTCAAGCCAGGCAGATTGTTGGGGATTTGGGTCGGGTTGGGCGGACGAGAGGAAGACATCTTGACTGAGATGGACGATACCGGTAGCTCAACGTAGATGGATCGTGAGGTGTGATATGATGTCGTGTGTGGTGTGTTGTGTGAGAGATTTCAGAGCGGGCTGAAAACTAGACAATGAAGTCTTGGTGAGGCGAGGTAGTTCCAACGGAGAGGCTGCCGTCAACTGTCACTTTCACCTCATTACAGACTAAAAAGGAAACAACGAGTGATCTTTTTCACTCTGACTTGTCTTCTGAGTCTATAGTTGTCCAGGAATCGACATTGACCTGGGACAAGCTGGTCTATACAGCCAATTCAATTACAATACCCCGCTTCTAAACGGGGCCAGAGCGTGTCCTCCTCCTTCACACCCCGCAAAGGAGAAACTACATGCATAAACCCGTTTTTAGCCATCCATCATGAAACATCGAATCTGCTCCATGCCGATATAGGCTTGTCGACACATCGTCTAGATCATCACAGAACCATCTTGAATGACGGATCTCGGTCATCACCGTACCCGATGTATTTGTCGTATTTGCCGTTCGCCTTGTCGCGATTGATCTTTGCGCAGTATAGGACATTGCACAATATCCTATCGGTCAATTGTTAGAAAGGGAACACATTTGACCAATATCAGAAGCACATCTTGGGAGACTTACGCAAACCATGCATAGACCAGCAATCCCAGGATGATGGTGTGCGATTTGTGGTATTGAGGAGCTTGCGTGGAAGGATAGATGAAGGCTATTTCTCAGACATCAGCGACAAACATTCTGGTTCAACGACGGACAAAGATCAGTGCTCACCGCTGACAAAGCCACCGGCGTTTGCGATAGCGAGCTGCATGCCGCTTGTCGTGGCACGCTTGTAGTGTCCGGCTGAATTGTTGGAGTTCCAGACCAGAACAGGGGGGACGCTGGCATACAATCCTGTGGCCATCAAGAATGTCATGCCATACTTCGTGTGGTTGTCGTGCTCGTCCACATTGGCGATAACCGCATATCCAATGATGGCCAGCGGCAAGCTGAAGAGCATCGCAACACCTCGCAATTTGAAGCGATCCGAGGCAAGGGCGACAACCACGGTGATAACAGCTGCAACAGCATAAGGAATAACGGACCACAACTGGGCCTCGTTCGCCGTGTAGCCCAGACCTTTGATAATGGTTGGCAGGAACAGCCCAAATGAGTACAGGCCGGAAAGAATCGAGAAGTAGGCCGTTGCGGTCAGCCACAGTTGGATATTAAAAACTCCCCGTCGAACTTCTGACCATCGGAACCTCTCTACTCCTTCTGCATTGTGGCCGTCGGGTAAGTGTGCGGAGGTATCGTTTCGTAACCTCCTCTTGCCGAGTTCGCGCTCCTCAGGCTTGAGGAACCAGGCTGTTGATACGCTGTTTGGGAGAAGGAAATATGCAATCACTCCAGCTGCAAAGGTCAAAAGACCCTCGATAATCATGATCCAGCGCCATCTGTCAAACATTTCTCGTTAGTATGACCCCCCCAGGGCAGTTGGAGAGGAAGCTACTCACCCAGCATCCACAGCGCTACCAGTAGGGCCGATAGCAGAAAGACCACGTGCCAAAAGACCTCCAAAGGCTCCAGCAAGAGATGCGCTGGTATAGAACAGTCCAATGCGAAGGGCCAACTCGCCTCTGGTGTACATTCCTGATAGATAGAGCACCATGCCTGTGACCGGAGATTAGAATCAATCATGAACTCTTTGGTCTTCCCGTCGATTCGCGAGAAAAAATGGCGAAAGGCTGAATGCATACCTGGCAGTAATCCTCCCTCTGCAAGACCCAGGAATGCTCGCACAGCCAAGAATCCACCATAGTTTCGAATGAAACCTAGACACATGCCAATGATACCCCACGCAGCGGTGAGAAAGGCCAGCCATAGTCTCGGGCTGAACTTCTTGAGAACCAGATTGCTGGGCAGTTCGGCAGCAATATAAAAAGCGAAAAAGATGGCAAGGCCGTTTGCATATTGACCATTGGTGAGACCTGCATCCTTTTCGAGACCAAGGATCTTTGCATTCCCCACATTTGTACGGTCGAGAAAGGAGCAGAGGAAGAGCAAGGCGAGCACGGGGAGAATTCTGCATGGAGCGATATGTTAAGCACAACACGTCGCGCCTCTCAAGACGGGGCGGGAATCTCTAAAGAAAGAGAACGCATACCTTGTGTCAAGCTTCCAGAGAAGCTTCCGCGTCAAGGCTTTGGTATGAGCGTCGTCGCCAAAACCGGACAGTGAGCCCGCCTTCTCTACCGGAACCACTTGGCTGGACGTCTCGAACTCATTCTGAGTGTCCTCTGGCTTCTCGACCACCGGGTCTCTTGCGACCTTTTCTTCGGCCATGGTCAGTGGGGGCTTGTTGGGCTTTTTTGCCACTTAAAAAAGGCCTTGATGGAGAATGTCCGTTGCGTGGCAAGAGGCACCTTTGACGGTGTAGAGTTGATTCACTTGGACACACACACAGCAATGGACTTGTATTTCAAGGCCAGAGGATATAAGCTATTTCGAGGGTGGACTGAGAGGACAGAGGGTCAAGATCAGGTTCTCATCCAAGGGACATGTGTCATTCTTATAGTATCCAAAGAAATAAGTGAAATACTGGGGCCCCTGGCCGTTGATTATTACCCCGTGGGTTGTAAAGTCGTCTTTGATGGGGACACTATCCCGCCTGCTATGATTGAGTGATGGACGTTGTGGCCCCAAATTTAGCGATGCCTAACAGTATTGTTGGGCGGTCGCACGACACCAAGCAGTGGCCAAGCACTGGAGAATGTTACGCTCTTGTTGGCAGAGACCAATCAAGGAAGAGGTCGTGGCGCAAGCGAGGGAGGGCGGCGCCCGGTCAATGGCCGTACAGAAACTCAGGAGGGGGAAACGAACGACCACGGCAAGCCTCTGCGGCGATAAGTGAACAAGCAGGATTAGGTAGGATCAGTCATGTGAAAGGCGTCGTTTGGTAGGAAAGGAAGTAGAAGAATGGCCGAAGGCACAGGCGCAGACGGAGATGGGCCGGATGAGGCCGGAGTCTGTGGCCGAGGTCCAGGTGCCAAGACGCCGCCATTCCTCTTCGGGCCAATTTCTGGGCGCCGGGACTCGGTTCGGTGCTTCTTTCTACCGGTAAATCCCCTTTGTCTCGACATCAAGAATTTGTATCACGACTTCGTCTCATCAATAAGCTCAACAAATTGATCACTTTCTCAAAACGGGCTTTCTTTTGGAGGTGCGGGCCATCAATAATATTATCGCCGGAGCTCATAGCGTGTTACAGAATCTCCACGAGCTAAACCCAGCCTTGCATCGTGAGGCTCCACCAATCAGAGTTCATCGGCCGGCAGACAGTCGTTACATGAGTGATAACAGCGCTGGCAAGGCAGCGGGAACTCGGTCGCCACAGGGACCACGGCATCAAGATTGTAAGTAGAGAGAAGTCCAGACCCTCTTGTCTCTCACCACCTCCTTTTTCTTAATCCACTGGACGCCTTGCAATGGATATTGCTCCTGATGGTACCCGATTGACACTTACACAACAATCCTCCCAGCCCAACGTCCAGTCCAGATAAGGAGAGCAAAGAAAAGCCCGTCTCGGTCACGGTCAGACGACATGTCGAAACTCTCGGAGCCGTTGAAGCACCTCATCAACGCCGCGCACGCGCTGCCTGGCCAGCTCAAGGCGCCGCCGACGATCCGGTCGACCTATGCTCAAATAGCCGCCAGCGCGAGAGACCGAGGCGTCGGTATCCCCGCGTGGGTCACCATCTCGACCGCGGCGACGATGACGATGAACTCGCCGTCGTCAATGGTGGAGCTGTACCACCTGACGCAGACGCTCCCGTCGGCGCCGTCGCCCACGGCCACAGCGGGGCTGATGCGCGAGGTCGGGCTCAAGTGCATCTCGTTCAACGGCATCCCGCGCTCGATCAACTGCCTGGGTGCGTTCCGCGAAGGCATGCCCAAGGACGTGTTCGACAAGATCCCGCCGCCGGTGTCGCGCCAGCTGACGGCCCAGAACATCGACGAGTCCATGGCCCGTGGCCGCCGCCTGTGGAACTCGGTCTACTACCCGTTTGAGGAGAAACTCCTGGCCAAGCTGGCCCAGTCGCATCCCAACCTGCCCGTCCACATCCTCTCGGGACACTACTCGAACCTGCTGGCGGACCCGCCGTCCGACGCACCCCTCCAGGTCGGGAGAGTGCTGACGTCGCTCACCGGCATCGCCTGTCTTCGCGCCCAGACCGGCGTCGCACCCCAAGTGGTGAGCCACGTCTTCGGCCTGCGCAAGGCGTACCAGGACGGCACGGCCGAGAAGGACATTGAGGGCGGCGAGTGGCTAGCCACGGACGAGGGCAACCAGTGGATCCTGCACTGCATCGACGAGCTAGTCCGGGCATTGAGTCAAGGCCGCGGCACGACGTTTGCGCCCGGCATGGGCGGCGAGGAAATCCCGAAAGCCAAGTTATAAGACGTTTGTCGTCCCCGGGCTGATCATGCATGGTGTCAGAGAGACCAAAAAACATAGAGTTCCACAAGAGAAAAAAAGCGCTGTAGCTCCGTACGTAGATATGTGTCTTGAAATGAGAAAAAGTTTCATCCAACCCAAGTCTATCCATGACATCAGCACGAAACTGGACTCGGGAGGCCATTTTCAATCACATACATGTACACCAAAGCAAATGGCATCTGACGTGTCGCGTTGTGAAGAAAGATCGAAATGACATTGGAAAAAAAAAAAAAAAACATAATGTGACTTTTTTAATCATAATTTTTTATTGTATATAGACAAGTCTTTTCAACATTTGCTGTTCCAGCTTGCTAGCCCAATAACGCATATGTATATATATTCATGAGGCACGTGTTATAAAGATCAGTCCCGATTCCGGACCTGCAACGCGCAACGAAGTCCCGGAGTTGCTTCGAAACGGCAGAAAGAAAAAAAAAGGAACAGAGTAAATCTATTCCATCGACTTGACCTCGTCCGCAACGGCAAACCGTGCGTCCGTCTTGGCCTTGACATCCTCCACCGAGACACCGGGAGCCAGCTCCGTGAGGGTCAAGGTGCCCTTGACGCGGTCGACCTGGAAGACGCAGAGGTCGGTGATGATGGTGCTGACGACCCTGGCGCCGGTGAGGGGCAAGGCGCAGTTCTCGACGATCTTGGATTTGCCGTACTTGTCCAGGTGGTCGGTGGCGACGACGATCTTGGTCTGGTTGGGGTTCGAGACGAGGTCCATGGCGCCGCCCATGCCCTTGAACACTTTGCCCGGGATCATGTAGTTGGCGAGGTCGCCGGCCGCTGAGACCTGCAGGGCGCCCAGTATCGAGACGTCGACGTGGCCGCCGCGGATCATGCCGAAGCTCTCGCAGCTGTCAAACGTCGACGCTCCGGGGACGAGGGTGACTGTTTCTTTGCCTGCGTTGATGATGTCCGGGTCGACTTCGTCCTCGGTCGGGTAGGGTCCCATGCCCAGAATGCCGTTCTCGGACTGGATCCATACTTTGACATCGCTCGGTAGGAATGAAGGTGCCAACGTAGGCATCCCCACACCCAAGTTGACGTACATGCCGTGCTTGAGTTCCTTTGCAGCACGGCGGGCGATGCGGTTTCGCCGAGCCAGGGCTTCTGACTTGTCGCTCGTCACAGATGAGTCGGAGGAATGACCTGCCTCGTCGCCAGCAGGACGAGTCTTTTTGTTTTCGATTTTCTTCTCCACGGTAGCGGGCACGATGCGGTCAACGTAGATACCAGGGACGTGGATGTCGTTGGGGTCCAAGGAGCCCAGAGGCACAATATTCTCGGCTTCGACAATTGTCAATCTGGCAGCCTTGGCCATGATGACACCAAAGGCCTTGGTCGTGTATCTTGCCCGTTCGTCAGCACTTGAGTTGTCTTGGATCTGTGGGCAGTATTGCGCCACCAGAAACATACCTGAATTGACAATTTCCAGCCTCGTCCACTTTCCACGCACGGATGATGGCAACATCGCCGGTCAACGCAGTCTCCATGACATAGGTTCTACCGTTGAAGATCCTTGTCTCGCGTGGCTTGCCCGCTTCCAGCACGCTCGGTTTCTTCGTCTCCGGGTCAGCGGGTCCTAATCTTGTGGGGATTTCGCCGGTTTGGATGAATGTGTCTAGACAGAGGTTAACAGCCTTTACAGCGTAACAGGCTCTATAACAAGGTACTACTCACGGACACCGGTTGGCGTGTAAAATGCCGGAATACCACTTGCCCCGGCACGCATCCGCTCCGCAAGTGTTCCCTGGGGACATAACTCGATGGCAATATTGCCGTTGAGGTATTTCTGCTCGAGCTTCTTGTTGTTCCCCAAATAGGAGAGTATACATCGCGTGATTTGGCCTGACTGCGTCAGGGGTGAAAGCCCTCCGGCGCCTGCCGCACCGGCGTTGTTGGACACAGCCGTGAGATTGTTTAGTGACTCGACGCCGCGCTTGTGCATTGCTGTTATGATGGTTTCTGCCGTCCCACAGAGGCCGAACCCAGCACTAAATATCACCGAGCCGGACTTGATATCTGCCACAGCCTCGTCGGCGTCCTTGAATAGCTTCGACCTCGTTCGATCGATAACAGGTTGGTCATCGCTACTTACTGATTGCGATGAAGATGCTGCTTGAAGGTTCCTTGTCCTGGAAGATGTAAAATGTCGAATATCTTGCCGACTCGAGATGATCCTTGTTCCGACCCGTGATTGGCTAAAGGCAAGGGGTTTGCGAGACACCGTTTTACAGGCATACGCTGCTGTCTTGGAGCCATTCAGGGCTCTGATGTCGTTGAGACACAGGAGCAGAGTACGCCTTGCTGCGACTGCCATCTTTCCTGTTTGCTTTTTTCCTTCTCACTTGTTGTGGTCGATATCGTTGGGGCTTGACCAACAATATATGCCCGTTACCAATCCGGGCTCCAGGAATGGAACAACGATTCTTCGAGGCTATGACCGGGACACCCAGGAGCAGAGCAGCGACATCGGCTAACGGCGCGGGTACAGTCGGCAGCGAGTCGCTCAATTCGGTCAAACTTCAGTTGGAAGAATTCCACGTGACGAAACGTAATCTCGGTGGTATTTTTGATACCGAAGTTTGCGGGCGAAACTTCAGGTGGATGCGGGCGGTCAGCGGAACGGATGGAGAAAATTCCCCGACGAGAATAGTCGCGGCGTTCCGTATCTAGGGACGAACAGCGCGCAAGGGGTGGAAGTTCCCTGGGATAAGCGATGTGGTCATACGCAAACAGCGCAGGATGGTTGGACTGTCGAACTCCAGTGTATATTGCTCTGCAACCTCCCGAATTTATATGCGCGTCTGGGAGACAGGTCAGACTTCCGAATGATAGTCATCAAGCCGACTTAAGCCATTTTCCAGAGAACCTCACGCCCTGTCGTTGTCAGAGAGGGAGAGGCGTGCCAGCCAATCCCATTAGCAGGTTTTGCGAACAAAACAGCGGATTATGGCCAAATCAAAGCAAAAAGGGCAGCCCTTCTGGCTTGGGTAATTGTTGAGACCTCTTTTCGGCCGGATCCGGCTGCTGACACACTCGACACAGAGGAGCTGCTGCGTCGATGGCCGCATGTTTCAGTATGGAAATTCAGCTCATTCCGCTTGTAGGAGAGACCACAAGGAGACTGATGAGTACTTTTAGCACACCCGCTGGATCAGACGAAATAGTAGGTCGAATGGCTGTGTGAAGGGCCACCAAGTGCTGAAGACAGCCATAGCAGAATGCAAGTCATGTCGACAAGGCAAAACATGCTGCGGACAATGATCCGGTTCGCAAGCAGAGATGGTAAGTCATCACAGAGACACTTGACCCGTGACAAACAACTCATCCAAATCCACAGGCATTCCCTCGTTGTGGTGGGGAATCTCGGCTTCGATGCTTCGCCAATCCACATATTCCACCGCAAGATTCGGCCTGTATAATTACTTTGCAGGTATCGCCAGAGAACGAACTGGCCAGAGACGATTACCGAGCTCGTGGGAGATTGTCTGCGCGGGTGCTGCGGGTGGTTTGGCCGGACTCATCGGGAATCCCACAGAGGTCCGCAGCTCGTATTACGTGATTCGTGGAGTCGCTGATGTCGGTATAGGTCGCCTTGGTGAGGATGTGCGCGGATGGAGCAAGATCGCCAGGTCAACGATTCGGATATAACCACGCAGTTGACGCCATTGTGAGGATTGGCCGAGAAGAGGGACTGCGGACCTTTAGCAGAGGACTAGGCCCTAATGTTGTCCGAAGTGTAATTATGAGTAAGTCTCGAATATGCCATGTCGGATCATGTCGCTAAACAGGTGCAGATGTTTCTCAGATAGCAACGTACGGCACTCGCTTCCTCGTCGGTCTTCATGCTCATATTCGTGCAGGTATTCTGCCGCAAAGCGCCAACTCCTTTCAAACCCTTCCTTGGGCCTCAAAGATGGCATCTTCACACATTTCCTCGCTTCATTGCTTGCAGGCACAGTCGCAACAACTGCTTGCGCACCTGCCGATGTATTGAAGAGTCGGATCCAAAATGCGGTGGCCGTTGATGGCGCGAAACCAGTAAGGCATATATCTTCAGAGGCCTGACTAGGAGCTAACAAACCCCAAACAGAGTGTGAGGAAGATTGTCGCCGAATCTTTACGCAACGAGGGGCCTGGTTTTCTGATGCGGGGCTGGACTCCTGCTTGGCTGAGGCTAGCGTAAGGCATTAACAAGACTTCTGTGCTGGCTCAAGTCCTAATACTCAGCAGGCCGAACACAGTTCTTACTTTCGTCTTCATCGAGCAGCTGCAGAAATTGGTGAACCTGTCAAGGGATATGAAGTCAGTCGAGACAGTTCCCGATGTAGTGCCCACGCGAGTGGCAACCCAGAAGATTTAATGTTGTGACCACGCTGAACACGGGCTCCAATTCACACCAAGACCTACGGCCACAGGTGTGGCCGCTCATGTGACGTTGGGCCAGTCTAACCAGTCGAAGAACATAGTCTCGTCAAGTTGGAACAAGTCCTGCGAAGTACTAGCGTTGTTGATGGCTTCGAGGATCTGGTCGTCCGTCATGTCAAACACATACGGCTCCAGTGCAACATTGGGCGCAGGCATTGAGGCTGTCCGTGGGGGATTGTGCTTAGGATTCTGATCTTGTTGATGATGTTGCTCCTCTGAAGGGCCCGAGACAAAGCCCTGGTTGTCTTCGGGAGGACTGAGAACTGAGCTCTGCATGATTCGCCGAATGTGCCTCGCGAAAAGGACGGAGAGACCCTTGCGGTGTCGCGGGGAGCTGCCAATCCTCTCCAAAACTTGGGCTGTCTCTTCAATCAGGGTTCTCGCATTTGGGGCTAGCATGGCTCGATTGCCCTGACTCGTGGTTCCAAGGGCGAGAGCGAAAGTTGCCGCGAAAGAGACCATGATGACGGTGTTGTTCGGCATCGATTTGAGTCGATTCTCTCCCTGGACCGCTGCACGCATGACATTCATGGCTGATGCAAGTCCTGCGGCGCGAAAGAATTGTTTCACGTCATTCGAGGCCGTCGGGTGGTTAACGACGTTACAATATGTGGAAAGTTTGGTGTGAGAAACAAGGATCTCGACGTAGGGAGGTAATTGACCTGCAAGACACGGTTATGACATGCAAGAAAGAAGATGATCTGTGTTGCTTACCGTCGCCTTGTGTGATTTGACGTGACCAAACTGCATACCACTGTTCAAAGAAACGGTCGATTTTGTCTTTCAGGCTATCAGGCCGTCAGTTCAAGCGATATATCCAAAGAGGATTCTGGGCTCCCAACAGCGCCGCTGAGAGAGGGTCAACTCACAATCTCACGGCCGCTGAGCCACCATTGACACCTTGACTACCATCACAAAATTCGCGGACACTCGTGATGAGACCGACCTTGCCGGGGTCAGCAAACGTCAGAGTAAATGTCAGGAGGCACGGCATACCAAGTCTCGTCTCAAAACAGCTGCTGAGATGACGCTGCCATCCCATCGATCGGCGATGTCAGAAATGTGCCACGTGTCACAGCTGTCCACCAGTGGCCCGATTGGAACAGCATATGGCCTTCCCCTTGCAAGGCAGATGCTGCAGGCACGTGTCAGCTGCTAGTTTCGTCGCGTATTTGGTATGATGTGCCTACCCTCGATCAAGAACGAATAATGCAAGCCATACCCGCTCACGGGTCCTCAATAAACGACGGCCCAAGGTGGAAGTCGGATCGACGTGCGGGAAACCATCTAATTGCAAAGCCTTTGCGGAATCGATACACTCGGCCTTGGCCACCCGGTCGAGAAAGCCCGCGGGACGGATCGTGGGGGAAGGAACCACAATCTTGTTCAGAGAGAGGTCCAATGCCAGGCTCAGCGCCATCGAGAGATACGCGCATGTCTCATCGTCCGCCCAGTGTTTCGCCGGCGTCATCCAAGGAATGTTAACCATGAAAGCCAACACAATCTCGACTGATCTATGTCTCTTGAATATCACGGTTTGTGCGAGATTGTTTCGGTGGTTGGAGAGTCGCTTCGACAATGCCTCCGCCTTGGGGAGGAATAGTGCAGAGGCGGCTAGAATGGAGGTGAACAGAAAAGCTGACCTTGACCGCACAAATGACGCCGTGTGGAGGGTAGGGTCAAGACCCCATCTTGTATGCGATAGTCGTTCGTAGAAGTAGGCAAACAGCGAGTCGGCTTCATCCTGTGTCACAAGCCCCAGGTCGATCGGGTCAAGATCGGGAGAATTATCCAGCCTGGGCATGAGGGAGCCAAAAAACTGCTGTAATTCGACGTCGCCAAGGTTTGCGTCATTCGTTCCCGGTTGCGACGCAACACCTGCGGGCGATGTGGACATTACGGTCGAAGGTGAATGGCCCGGCAGCACAGAGGCCATGGCAAGCAATTGCAGGGGATTGTCGGCATTGTTGAGTGCGAGTTCGTCGGGTTTCTCGCCATGGTCCGTAGCAGTCGCCTCGTTACTATTGCTGTCGTCTGCGGCGCCATTATTCTCGCTAGGAACCAGACTTGTGCGCGGTGGGAGGAAAGTTCGTGGAAGGTTTGTTGGGGTGTGCGAACTCGCCCTCCTCTGTAGCGCAGTGTCGGTCTGAGGGGCCCCGATCAACTGTCGAAGGTCGGCTTCAACCTCGGAGGAGAGCCCAGTCGATCCATCTTTGGTTCGCTTGAGTGCCTGTTCGACCTGATAGATTGCCTTTTCCAACCCTGTTCTCTTGCTGATAAACCGCGGTTTTTCAGCGCCGCGTTACTATCCAGAGCTCGAAAAAAACTCACTTCTTGACCCCTTTATACCGTCCAACGTGGTACTCTGGCGTGACACATTGCAGACCTGCCTGCTGGCACTTCCGACACACCGGGGCATTGGCATCGCGCGTACATTTCACCTTGCTCCGGCGACATTCCAGACACGCAGCCTGCTTTGCTTGCGCCGAAGCAGACGTGACATCTTGATTAGCAGACGAACTAGAACTCATGCCTTGGCGCGGGACATTATTCGCGATTCAATGCAAGAGATAGGAAAAGATTCGAGCTTGAAGACTCCGATCGGGGGTTGTCTCGGGTAAAGACGCGCACTCCAGGCCCCGTACGCCAGGCCTTGCGCCGGCCAAAAAATGACAAATAATAACACAGATCCGATGCCAGAATCTCTGGCTCAGGTCAACCCAGAAGAATCAAGCCCAAAAGTGATGCGGCTGGAGTCGGGTTTTGATGAATGACGAGAACGGGCGGGTTTGGTTGGGTTTGTTCGTTGGAGACGACCTTATTTTAGGGTTTGAACCTGAAGTCTTGGCCCCACATACAAGGAGAAAGAAGATTAGACTCGAGAGACATGATTGGCCAGGAGACACGAGGCTGCAAGGCTGAACCTCCTGCGCAGAGGTATTGTGACTGCGATGCGAATGACAACGTGCGGTACCTGACAGGGTTGTATGACCTTGGGGGCCTGTTAGTCGAAGCCAGCGATATCTACTCGAGTCACGAAAAATTGGAGCCATCATCTTGACCCCATCTGTACTGATCTCCGCGCGACATCGGTTCTCCAGGCCATCTCGGTCTTGGCCCCTCCGGCTTTGAGGGTCAAGGTGTAGCGAGAAACTCCTCGTGTGCTTAGCCGGATGGTACGTCGCGAGAAGCTCTCGTACCGGGGGCCCACCACCTCGCGATGGCCCCAATTCCTCCCCCCTTCATACTGCAGTGGTCTGCCACGGGCATCCAGACTTTGATGGGCACCAAATCCAGAGGTATGCTCCGGACACCGTCCTCCGAACAGTCGAAAGTGATGCTGTCGTAACAGAGACGAGTGAGCGTCGACATTGTACCGTTTGGTCTTCGCAAGCTATCATGGCTATCGATCTAGTACGGGAAGGAACTTGGACCAAGTTTGTGCCGCTTCAGCTGACCTTGGTCGTGTTGCAGGAAGAAGTATGACAAGACTGTCTACATAGGGCGTCGAGCAGTGTCTTTTCATTCGTACATATGAAAACTGGGTCGCAAGGAAACATCGGGCGGTAGAGACGGGGTCCCACGGAATCGCCCATCATCTCCCCGGTGCCGGCCGACCAAATCGGGAAATTGCGCGCCAGAGCGAAGCAAGATTAAAATCCTGTCAGGTTCATCGCCTGCTGTCGATCAACCTCCTCTCAATCCTTTCTCGCGTCTCGAAAAGAAAAAAGGTCAGAGTCACCTGGCACATACCCCATCACTCAGCTGGCTATCCTCTTTGCTCCCCAGTCGAGAATATGGCGCAACCTCAACCAGTAACGATCATGGCGTTGGTGCGGAGAAAAGCTTCCATGACCCCGGAAGAGTATAGCCGCCATTGGCGAGAAGTACACGCGCCCATAGTATCCCCTTGGCTGGCGAAGCATGGGGTCCTCAAATATCGACAGGTCAGCCTCTCGACCTGGAACATGACTCCCGGTAGCTCACTCACGTTGAACAGGTCCACATTAACCCCGATTCAAACAAGATTATGAATGGCAACGCCCACGGGGGAAATGCCCACGGTGGGACTTTGAAAGTCATCGACAAAGATCTTGGGTTCGATGGAATTTTAGAAGTACAGGTCCCGTCTTGGGAAAGTTTTAGGAAAGCGCTGGAAGATCCTTATTACGTGGAAGTGGTCCGCCCAGACGAGCAGAAGTTCTTCGACGAAAAGCAAATTGTCTGGTCTCTCGGGTCAGATTATACCGGAGTGGACGGAGGTAAAGCACTCGTAGGAGTCGAAGTATGAATTAAACCGTCCGCAGCAGCCATCACTCATGGAAACCATAGGAGTAACAGCAGATAGTCCAATATCGAATGGTCGGGAACGATCTCGCAGGTCCAACGCGTGTTGTTGTCCCCCGGAGATCGAACCGCAATTACATGCAATTTTGGTCAAACGCAGAGAGAGGTTTCTGAGCATGCTAGTCTCTTACAGCTCAGGACGCGAGGGCGCCCCGTGAAGAGAGTGCTTCCATTCAGCTGGCTCGCTTTAGTGGAACGCCGGCGCGAGACTGTTCTAGTCCTACTAGGCCTGAGCCTTGTCGAGCTCCTCTCTCTTCTTGTTGTCCTCGTCCTTCATCCTCAAATGTTCGCCGGCGTCTTGACTGCAGGTGAAATCGGCCATTTGGGTGGCAATATTGGCCGGGAACGACACATGTTCCTGGATCCACCTCCAGACACCATCTCTCTTTTTCAGCAGGCCAGTGTAACGAAATTTAAAGTCAAACTTGTGACCGTCGGTGCTAACGCCGTAGTAATGCTTTACACATGCGTATCAGCAGGTCCCATGCGACAGACATCACAGACGGGGAGCCAGACCTGTTCCATGTTGCAGAATCCGAAGTCGGGAGCAGTGGCAATGATTTCCATGTCCTTGTATCCGATGTGAGACTTGGCGAAGTACGCTCAAACGAAGAGTTCAGCACGTCAAAGCCTAATAATCGAGAAACTCTCACTCACGTCCAATATGGTAAAAATGTTCGACGAAGCGACCGCCTTAAAACTATTAGCCACGCGAGCACAAGGTCAAGGTAGCCACAGCATCAGAGGGCATACGTGGAATCAGGCCCATCAAGTCATAGTACAAGACTTGTGCACCGTCGTAGAACTCAGCCCCTTCCTCGGGGTTGGTCGCAAAGCGATGGTCGTTGAACTCCATCCATCTTACGTAGTGATCGAAAATTTCTTCTTCCTCCTTCCTGAGTTCCGGCTTGTGATAGGCACTGAGTGGGAACGGTAAAGTTGAGTGCAAGTTGTCGAGGGTCGTTAAATCACCCTTGGAGCGGCGCAAGGCCGCACGAATTAGACCACAAACCTATCTCGGGCACAGGGCTGGTACCAGGTAATGCCACTCTGAGCGGCCCTTCTTGCTTTTGACAATGTCCGACATTTTGTCTTCGAGAATCTGGCCGTTCTCTTGTCGACCTAGGATGGGTTGATACCGAAGGCTGGTGTGTGTTGTCGCTTTTTGAACAAACACAATTCCCAATGCCTGACACGGTGAACGGGAGCCCAAAGCTCGGACATAACTGTGCACGATCGTCCGAGTAAAAATAATCTGTTCCGGGGGGTTGGCGTCCGATTGGGGATCTCGGGATTTACATCCGGATCGCGACCCCTAGAGTTTACTTTGGACCTTGGTTGGCCGGGGGCCTGTGTGAGGTTCACACGATGTATTCAAAGGCGCTTTCGTCTTTATTTCAACTACTGGGACCATTGCTCAGACGAAAACTTCGAGCTGGAGAAGATGGGTGGCTTTCGGAGCTAAACAGGTTAGAGTGAGGTAGCTCGTTTGTGGGGGGCGCCTTAACCCAATTTGGCCGGTTGCTATTGTTCCGGAGTCCGGCCCAAAATATCAAATTCAGGCTCTCTCCGGGCCGAGAGCAGTGGAAATGCGGGCCGAGTAGGTTACGAGTGGTCACAACTGTGGGTGATCCCTGGAATTAGCCAAAGGATCTACACTACATCTTACACTAGGCAGAGCAACGAGGAGAGTCTCTGCTACGGTCACGTCTCGGGTCAGGCTGGCAGAGCCTCCATCAACCGAGGATTATATCGCTCAGATAGGAATGTCTGCCGACTCCGCGCGGGAAGATATCGTAATACTATTGGCTAAGTGCTAGTGGGGTGGATCTGATTAGTCATTCCAAGTATTAGTAGCTTTATATCCCTACACTCGGACTAGCGTGTCAGTGTGATTAGTGAAGCTGCCCTGTCGAAAGACAGGGCCTTCTCCGCATGTTTTCAAGTAGCTCTATCTGGAGCGACATCCATGTTCAGATGTAAAAGCAATTTTCACAGCCTCGCCGCGGTCAGCATAGCCTCGACCACTAGCGAAAGGCTCTTACAGGTCTCCAGTCCCGTGTAACTTCTGCAGGGCGAAAAGGAGTCAAATGTAAGCAGCCATACTGATCGCAGGGGACAGAAGTGCTGACTTGTCACCCTCTGGGTTGCAGGCAATGTCGGCTCCCCTTATCGTTGCATCGTGAGTAAAAGCTGATGTGTCACAACCTACAAAAGAGCGACCGGGGTTCAATGCCCTCGTGTGCACGGTCACGGCGAGCAATGGACTTATTTGCTGGTTCAAAGGCGACGCAATATCAAAGACTACAAAGCCTTGCAAGAATGCCACGGCCATGAGGATCAGGCCGCAAGAGAGAGAGGAATATGCACGGCTTGTCGCCGCCAGCACTGACATCTTTGTCGATGCCACGCGAAGTTTCATATGCAACCTGACGCAGATCAAAATCAATGTCATAACACCCAAATGGTACCCAAGGTCCCCACTACTCTGCTCCGATACCTCCCTCCTTGATTCTCTGTTCTAACGTGTGGCTTTTCCAGGCTGGCATTCACCTATCTTCCAACAGCTCTGATCAATCTTTTCATCTACATCATCCAACAGCCTCATGGGCCGGCCATCGAAGACGATGTGTTGTCCCGCAGACGGGCCAGAAGCTTGTCTCGCACAAGCTTTGCTGCACGTCTGACTTTGGGGGGCCATAAGACGAGACTCGTGACCAGAGACGAGGCGAGGCGAGTCAAAATACCCACACAAACTCGAGGGATTGGATGGGAGCGATCCGAGAGGCATCCTGAGGGAAGGTAGAGGAACAGAGCAGAGCAGAGCAGGGGTGTGATGTGTGTAAGTGCGTGGATAGATGAGTCCCTTTGAGTCAGCGGGCCAGACACTCAAATTCCCACGCGTGCCTCAGTGGAGGGCTACTTTGCTTCAAGTAGCGATGGTACCCGCCCTTCCCCCAGAAGGCTGACTTTGGATCGAAAATATGAGATTGAGATGGTCGTCCTGGTCTGGTCTGATCTGGTCCACTTCCATTTCGGGACCGAAACACAGAATGACATTCCCGAAGTCGGTTTAGCGTGCCCCAGGGGGGGCCGGGTTGCGTTTGATCCAAGTAGCGCAAAGTGCCGTGTACCTCGTACAGATACGGACGGACAAGACCGTATCAATGCGATACTGGCTGTCACTGTACCATGAGATGTGAAAATCCCGAGTCGAAGTCGCAGTGGATTGTGGATTGGCGATCCACAATACCACATAGCTATGTATGGTTACTTCTGCACCGTCGTTAGCGCAACAGACTTTGATAGCCCCGTACGAGTACGACGTACTCCTCTCTAACCACAAACTATGTACAAGACATGTACGACGCTGTACAAAAAGGCTTGTTCAAATGTAGGGTACCTGCAGTGTGTTGGCCCACAGCCGTTTTTGATATCCCCCTCCGCCAAGTTGTGGGCTCTGACATCGGGGTCCATAGGTAGGTAGGTAGGTAGGTAGGTACGGTCTAATAACGAAACGGGTACTGACGACGCCCATCTAGGAAACCTATGGGATACCCTGTGCAGCTAGTGGTAGGCAGAGTGGTAGGGTGGTAGTTAACATAGGTATTGCTCCCCCCGCCGCTGAATACGACTCGAAACAAGCTTTTTCACGGTTCGGATCCGAGGTATCTTTGAACGCCGCGTGGCGGCCCACATTATGTCTTCAGAAGTATACCGAGTAGGTACGCGATGGCTTACATCTCGGGATATACACACATACGACACTGATCTCACGGTATTGTCAGCTCCCCAGCCAGCCAGCCAGCCAGCCTACCCATCGACTGCGCGAGCGGCTCTCTCGAGGGGAGTCGACAATGGGAAAGTTTGCCCACACAGACCCGATAGACCCACCAACAAACTGACCGGGCATGGTGTCCCATAACTTGCCGCAATACGTGGGAGGTGGAAAAGGATGCTGACGAGCCGTTAGGGCCAAAAAGCGGCACGAAAAAAAAATTCACGGGAAGGGCCTCCCTCCCCGTAAGGCTGGATTTCCCAGCCGCTGAATCATTACCATAGCACTCCACACACACTCTCTCTCTCTCACGCTCTCGCCGTCACCCGTCTGAGATGCTCGTTGACGTTCAAAATTGCTCAAGGTGCATATTACGTACGGGTCAAGAAGGGCATGTGCCCCGGAAAAACCCGCCGTTAGCGCTTCTCTTGCTCCAAAAGGGCTGAAACCCTCCCCAGCACAAGGCGTTTTGATCGTCGAGCTACAGCTACCAACGACGTACCACTACCAGTACAGGGCACCACTACTCACACCACCTGCTCAGCTGAGGTTCAACGAGGATCTGCTGCCGGAAAGAACACATGCGACCAGGGGAACCAAGGTTATTCGTTGTCGCTCGCCTCTGATGCGACACCAATCAAGAAGCAAGGACCCGAAACTAAGCTTGTCCCCCGGACCCAGACGCGAGGTACGTGTACTCAGCGGCCCCGCTTTCTGGGAGTGCACATGGGTGACTAATGTTGAATAAGAATAAGTGGGGGAAGTCGTCAAGATCCCAAGTCCAATCGCCATCTCGCTCCCCCTGACACCCCTACCCTTTTACCCTTTCGAGGCAGTAAACTGTTGCCACAAACTACCCTGTTGAGGTAAAGCCCAATATCGACTTCGAAACGAACCGGAGCACCGGCCCCATACGGCGGGTGTCCGAAGGAAGTCTTTTGTCCTTGTACTTCGGCATTCCGAACGTAATTCGGGATCTTTTTTTATGAGTTCACCCCGACGTCTTTGTAAACTTGATATCCATTCCAAAGAGGATACAGGCCAACAAAACACCCGGGAGCATTTACCCAAGATTTACCCACGCTTTAGGGGGCAAAAGGTTTTCGTCCCGCTATTGGTGGTCCTACAAGTACCGAATGGCCTTCTCCGTAGATATCGAAGGCCTGGCGTCGTCGTCGATGCGCTAGCCGGCGCTCTCCACACAGTTGCAGGTGGATTCTATCTGCTCGCGATCGCCCGATCTCACGTATAAGGGCCATCGATTACCCAGTGGCTTGCGCCTCTCTCTCTCACACACCCAGCGCCGTGCGACATACATCCCTCCGCAGGGGTTCCTCGGGTGTACTGTCTGGATTCAGTTTACCAACGATGGAAAGAATGGAAAATCGGAAGGACGGTGATTATCATGTGTGCGACTCGGATGGACAGGGTATTCATTCCCTCTTGATGCCGCGCAATCTCATCCACTCCTTCTGGTTTTCAGCCCTGGGGAGTCCCAATCGAGACTGGTATTTGGGAATGTTCAAAGGACAAGGTGCAAGGGGAAGTGAGCCTGGTTGTGCTGTTGTTGTTGCTGCTCTGGGCACAGTACCGGCAGAATGACGGTCTTCAGGATGATCAAAGCTCGAGAAGTTCGTCCCATCTTACCCTTCTTCCATGATTGCATGCCACTATGTATGGCGTTCTTAGTACATATGGAGAGGCACGTATGGAATGGATGATGACATTGTGTGGTCAATGTGAGGTAGATCTCGCCGTGGCCATGCCCGACGGTAAAATCCATGTCGACATAAGTGGTTCTTTCGAAAAGGACGTGATAGTAATGGATGAGAAAATGTTTGTATCTTCCGACCAACATTCAAAGCCTTGCAGACCTGGTTCATGGCGATATGGCTGCTGCTTGTCACTGCACATGGCGAGACTGTTCAACATTTGTCCTCAACTCTTGCATCTTCGTGCGCATTCAAGAACGCCACACCCGTCCTAGCAGTCAGTTTTCGCAGGACAGACTTGTCCCGACGCGGAATGCTAGCAGTGGAACCCGGCATGTTTTTTTCTTTCGTTTTTTATAAGCAAGG